GCATTCAGTTGCCAGGTGGAGAACTCCTGTGGCACAAGAGAGACCTCAGGGGTCCTGTGTGCAAGCCTGAGCCGCTGCGAAGACCTGGAGCTCACCCTGGCTGTAAAGATTACAGGAGGACCTTGGGTACTGATGCTCAGGCCTGTAACCCTAGCTACTCAGGAGACTGAAACCTAGGGGATCCTGATTTGAGACTAGGCCAGGCAGAAAAGTTTGCTTGATAGCATCTCCAGAATCAGCAAAAAGGCAGGATTGAGCCAGGAGCCAGTGGCTCAGGCCTGCAGTCCTAGACACTCAGGAGGCTGAGATCTGTGGATCGTGCTTTGAAGCCAGCCTGGGCAGAAAAGTCCTCGTGAGATTCTTATGTCCAATTAATCACTTCAAAACTGAAGTGGAACTATATCTCAAAGTGGCAAAAGCTCTCAGGGACAGCACCCAGGCTCTTAGTTCAAGCCCCAACAACTGACAAAAAAAAAAAAAAAAAAAGTAGGGCTGGGAAGATGGCTCAGTGGTAGAGCGCTTGCCTTGCATGCCTGAGGCCCTGGGTTCGGTTCCTCAGCACCACATAAGCAAAAAGAAAAAAAGCCAGAAATGCCACTGTGGCTCAAGTGGTAGAGCGCTAGCCTTGAGCTGAAGAGCTGAGGGACAGTGCCCAAGCCCAGAGTTCAGGCCCCACGACCGGACCCCCCCCCAAAAAAAAAGTAGGGTTGGAGGTATGGGGAGGGGAGGAGGTTGGAGGTATGGGGAGGGGAGGAGGTTGGAGGTATGGGGAAGGGAGGAGGAAGAGTCTACAGAAGGAAAAACACATCATCATACTGAAAAAGATTCCTTGTTTATCTGAAATGCAAAGTTGACTGGATGTTTGTGTGCTTATCCTAAATCTGACCACTGGAGCTCAGTACCTAGAGTCATGTGGCACTCAGCCACTAAGACAGCCAAGAGGCAGCTGGGACCTGCTCTCACTTGAGTCCTCTCTATTTCAGATGCACAGAGAGTTCTATATGGTGGCCTGATGCCTCCTCTGAGCCTGTGTGGCATGGAGCCCTGTCTGCCCCTGCCCCTGTCAGCCCTGGGCATGACCTGGACCTCAGGTCTGTCCCTTGCTGAGCAGGTCCAGATGAGGAAAATGGACTCTGAGAAAATCCTGAGACTTCGTGAACATTCAAAGCGGGGCCTGGTACACACCAGTGTCTAGGGGCCTCGTTATTATCAGCCATATACATTCTGCAATGTTCCCCAAAGAGCCTCCCACTGTCTCCTCTTCATTCCTGTCCCCAACCAAGGGCCACCTCCATAGCTAGCGTGGTCTCCCTGAACCGCCAGCCCATCCCGTGACCCAGTCTCTTTGCCTGACTGGCTTGCAGGGAGTCTGGTCAGTGGTCAGGCCAGGTGTGTGCCCTGCTGTCAGGACTATGGCTGCTGTGTTCACTGTTGTGTCTTTGGCCAGTCACAGAATGAATGTTCAGGTTCCTCCTGCATTCCTACTCCAGGAGGAGGGGCAGACCCCGGCTGGCTGCTGAGTTGGTGCACGGAGCCTGAGGAGCCTCTGGCTCTAGCACCTCTGGGTTGGCCGGTGTGGTTCAGGTGCACAACAGGAGGCGGCCACGGAGCCCAGTTAGGTTGGCCGTGGTTTGGGCAGAGCGTGTCCAGACTCAGGGCGACCATCTGGCCTGGGAGCCGCCAAGGCTCTGCCCTGTAGCAGCTGCCCAGACCTTGTGGCTCGGGACACTGGCCCTCAAGCCCTGTTGAGTGCCAGCAGCTGTAGAAGGTGACAGGACGTCCCCAGTGCTTGGGGAGGGAGGCCGCGGTCCACCAGGGCAGAGGCAGCAGTTTTTTGCTAGAAACATCTGGCTGTGGAATTCGGCAGTAGTTCTGGCAGTGGCCGGGCTGCGCCCTGAGGTTGCTTTGTCTGGTGGGGCAGGAGGGAGTGTTCTTGAAGCAGGGACTTCCTGGAGAGGGCCATGGAAGAGGTGGCCACTGAAAGGTTGGGGAGGGCAGATGCCCACGGTAGACGGGACTGGACGCACAGGGTGCAGACAATGTGGGCAGAGGCGCCTGGAGTGAGGATCCCAGGCATCTCCCACAAGAGGGCACCCTGCTGGCTCCCAGTGGTCACTGTGGCCACCCTGGCCCACACCGTCCTGGGGACGGGGGGGGGTTGTGGGGCGTGCTGAGTGATGGACACAGGTCTGATGCCCCAGAGCTAGCTTCTGGTGGTCAGTGTGGGCCGGGGCTTCGGCCTGGACCCCGCAGTCTGAGCTTGGACAGCTGCGCTGGGGGGAGGGAGCAGAACGGAGACCCCCCCTGAGGGGGAGCTGGGCGCCTTTCTCTTGGTCAGCCCAGGTGAGGGAGCGCCACGTCCAGCCGCTGACTCCTTCCCCAGTGCTCAGTTGGGCGTAACCTGACTCTGTTTACACCTATTCTCCCTCAGGTGAGCACTGGGTGAAAAACAGAGAGAGCTGACCCCTCTCCCAAAAACAGGCCGGCCGCGGAGGCTCGCGGGAGTCCTTGCCCAAGAGGTCAGCATCGCGGTGGCCTGCGGC